TATCAAACAGTTATTAGATGCTTGTAAATATATTGATATCTTTCAACCTAATTTAAACTTTATTAAATTTCTCTACCAAGACAGAAAAGCTAAGCAATTACAGCTTATAGTCTTACTAATCTGATTACATTACACTCAGACATAGAACAAGGAGAAACTTATTCTTTATTACTTTAAAACATATACTATGATTCTATTTTCAGCTAATAAATTTAAAATATAGCTCTAAACTTCTCAAAATTTCATCTCAATCTCCTTTAGAAACAATTTTTATAACTTCACAAACTTATATAACAATATTATCTTTTGCTTTTATAAATACAGTTTAGCACTTTAAATTTAAAAATGATCTTTAAAATATCTTAGACAATATATTAAAACTTTACTAACTAAATAATATTTAAATTAATCCATATCATCTCTAACAAAAAAGTATTATTTAATACCAACTCAGAAATAATACCTATAAATTTTAACAATCAACCAATTATATCTTGTAAACTAAATAAAACAATCAGATACCTAAAAATCTTTTTAGATAAAAAGATTCAACTAAACTTACACTAGAAAAAATTTTTAGTAAAACTTCTCAATTTATTCACATTATCCAATACAAAAAACTCCTTCTTATACAAATATCTTGATTTCTTAATATCAACTTATTACTATTATTAGAATATTTATTTCAAATCTGTTCTTTTTCTCAAATTAAATTTCAACAATTATTAAGCTTCTAACAAAATGTACTAAATATATGCTTTATCTATCTATAAATACAAACAATAATATATTAACTAGTCTACAACTACTCAACATTTCAACACTAAACAAACTTATATTACAAGTTAGCAGTAGTAATATAGAAAAAGGTTTTAATACAATTCTAAATCAAATTTCTATATATTGAGTTAAAGAATAGCTTTTTAAAATATGAAAATTATTTCTAACCCAGAATATAGTTATAAAAAACTGCAAAAACCTCTTTAATTTTACTATAATATTCTAGCTTGCTTACTTATATAAAAATAATATTTCTTTAACAATTCTTATCTCAATCAATTAACAACTTATAAACAAATTAACTAATTAAATAATATTTATAACTTTATTTCATCTTTAAACAACTTAACATTTCTAAGTCTTAGAAACTATAAAATTTTTTCCTTGAACAAGTACTAATAGCTAACAATTATAACTTACTTTTTTAAAAAAAATATATATTCTAGAACTCTCAAGTCTCCTCAAGGTCCTATTTCAAATTAGTTCAAAATATTTACAAACAAAATTTTTTTCTTTTTTATCTTACATGTATAGCACAATCTTTAGATCTAACAAATTAATCTCTTTCTAAATACACTTAATCTTATTACACTTCAGTCTACTAATTCTAATAACATATAAACACTATATACCTTTTCTACAAATTAGCATATAGGCAAAATAATGAATATATCAAATTTTTTAATACTTTTCTAAAAATACCAAGTCATAAATTCAAAAACCAATACAATTAATATTTTCTAACACTTACAACCTTCTAAATAAAATATAAACAAACTATCAATCTAAAATACAAAACACAAAAAAGAAACAATATTTCAAGCTTAATATTAATGACTAAAAAATACAAGTACTTCAAAACATTCATGTAACATTATACAAACCTGCTTTACAATTATTACTATTCTTTTTACTATTCTTTCCAGAAATCCTTCTAATTCAAAACACAATACTAGACTCTATATATTAAAAGCAACTTATAAACCTACATTAAAAATATTACTTCTGAACTTAAACAATTTACATTTCTATAAAAATGGCTTAATACTAAATTTACAAACAAATAACATATCTACTAGTATTACTTAGATTCTTGAAAATGATACTTAAATTAAATTTAATGCTTCTATATCTCATATATTAAACTCTATATATACAAAACTAATAACACTTATTTTACTATTTCTTATTTTATCAACCAATTATCAAATTCACATTCACCTTAACAGCCTATCTATAATTTAAACTTTTACAAATTCTATATCTTATAACTATAATTTACAAACCAAACAAAATAATTAGGATATTATACATATCTTAAATTTTTTAAAAAATACAAAAACATAAATAATACTTTACATAATATAGGATCTTTGCTATAAAAATAACCTTCTGAGGCTATTTAGATTTTATAAATAAAATTAAAATTTACTAGTGATCCAGTAATATAATTTGAATAAACTTTTTTTTTATTTTATAAAGCTTAGTAAACTTTATTAAATAAAAAAAAGTTTATTCAAATTGGATTATGAGATCATTGGTAAATTTTAATTTTATTTATAAAATCTAAATAGTTTCAAAAGGTTATTTTCATAGCAAAGATCCTATATAGTTGACATTTTTACCAAACAAAATATTAAAAAAACTAAACTTAATCTTAATCTTGAGTATTTCTATTTATCTACTTTCTTTACTTAAAATTAAATACTAATTACATATAAATTACATAAATTCTACAAGAACTTATTTTCAATTTAAACATTTAACAAACTCTTTTAACTAAAGTTATTACAAAACCTTTCTATTATAAATATTCTACTATTAACTAAAATTAACTCTTAAAATTATAATTTTAAATTATATTTTATTAGAAACAAAATACTTTTTAACAATTTATCAACAATGTTCAATTTAAATATCTGTTATCTTCTCTATTTAATTTCAAACTACTCATATTGTAATCAACATAAAATACTGAACATTTGCTCCAATATTCACTTCATTTCTATAACCTAAAAGATATTCTCATCAATAAAATTACCAATGCTCTAAATTCATTAACCTTCTAGAAGTTTCTTTAAATACAATAATACAAAATTTTAATTCCAAAATCTTTATTTTTAATTCCAAAATCTTTATTTTAACTCTAGTATATATAATATAATTCTTTTATTTATACAGGAAACAATAATTCTCAATCAACACATACAACTACAACTAATTCTAAAAAACTAATCAATAATTTTTTAATCTCTATAGTCAACTCTCTACTCAAGTGATTCAACTCTTTTATTTGACAAACTTATAACATTAAACAACATGAATAGAAATTAGTATAAGGAATTTTTACTTTTACTAAAAAGAAAAACAATACTTACTTACCTAACTTGCAATCTTCAAATCTAAAGAATATTACTTTTATTTTTAATACTGATATAGATCTTTTTATTTCTAAAACCTTGTTTCAAAATTTCAATATATATACTTGTTTTTATTAATTAAATTATTCTAAAGAGTTTTCTTTTACCCTTTTTTGTAGTTAATAATTAACAGAAATTGATTTAACTAATAATAGAAAATAAAAGAATAATATTTTTTTTTTCAGGTTTAAAGAGTGATGTCTATGGCTTGTGATTTTTTATTAAGACTTACAACCTACAAATATTGTAGGAAGGTATTACATTTTGCATATCAATGAGACTACAATTAGCCACTCATACAATTTTAATCATTGTCTATTTAAAGGTTCTGCCTACTGGTTACCTACTAATTGTCATACCTGAAACCTGCCTGTGGGTTTCCTATTTAAAGTCTCTGATTTTCAATGTTCTTTTTGTAGTACCAACTTAATTTTTTAATAACAAACCTTAGGGCTACTTTACTCTCGATGCAAACTCTACCGAATGAAAATAGATCCTATGACTACACCTATTTGGATTTATGATGCCAGAGGTAATTCCATATTAGGTAAGGCCAATCCTTTCCACAAATGTTGACAACATTTTCCACATTACTTACTATAGTAGTGCCCATGCTCTGCCATACCGGTTTTCTTCTGAGAATTCTTTAGATCAAATATGTACCTTCACTTGGACTTCCACAAGACTTCGCATCCAATTATAGGCTCCATTTTTGGTTATAAAGTATTTTACCTCCAGCCAGACTTGAACCATTGACCTTGTTTGTGAGGAGATAAGAGCTTAACAACTAAGCTATGAGACTCAACCCCCATAAAAGAATAATATCATACTATATGTCATTAATATATATAGTAACAATAGTGTAATTTAGAAATAATACTTAGTTATACATTTATATCTAATTGATATATTCATGTATCATCATTTTTCCTACTTGCTATTATATAAAAAAAAAAAAAAAACACATGATTAATATACAAATTAACCTTTCTAAATCTGTACTTATAACAAATAACAAGCAAACTAACTATACTCTTATTATATATAATAACCATCTTCTTAATCTTTATCTACCAAATGAACCATTCAAATTTCTTAGATTTGGTTTACACTTAACAACAAACAAACCAAACAAACCAACCTCATTATTGCAAAATCATCACATCATATTAAAATTGCAAGCACTAAACAAATCACTGACATGCATACATGTTATATTATCAAGAAAATGTAAAATTTTATTCATAAACTAGAAAACTAAAATATACAACCTACAAGAAGTAGCTACATTTAACACAAATATATCATTCATTAATTGCTGAACCGACCAATTAAAAAACAATTCAAGTATTTAGTAAGACAGTAACCTAGTAAAGAATCGAATAAACTGATTCATAAGGGATAATAAAAACTCGGCCATATGAAGACTATTAAATCATAGAATAACTGGTGATCAATAATTGTGACAGATTAAAATGAAACTTTGTGCATAGAGTAAAATAGACAAGCCACCGAAAAATACAAAAATTTTGGAATGAAGGGTTTTTTTTTAGTATAAGGGTCAGATTTATGTGTAGAATTTAGATTAAACAAGTATAAGTGGATTTAAGAGGTTAAATAGAAAGACTAAATTTATTTTGATTTGATTCATTATGATTCGCGACAATAATTAACAACCCTAAGTGATCAACATAAGCTACACGGTAAATAGGACCTAATGTAAGTCTGAGCGGATATTACTATAGTATTTTTGAAATAATCAACAATAGTAATAGCACAATTATCTTAGATGTTAAATCCTTACTCTAAGTTCAAGCATTTAAATTGAGAGAGAAAAGATTCATCATTATCGGTATAATAATGCAAATTCCAACAAATAGCTCCTGGGAGACTAAAATGACACTGAGGATCAGCTTCACATTTATCACAATGGCATATAAATCCATAAGTATATAAAATCTTAGATTGCCGTTGTTGTTTATCATCTATTGTATCAATGTAACAGGTAAAAATTTCTTGTCCCTTCATTACATTTTGCAAAGCGATAGTAGTAAAGCGAAAGCGATTGCAATCAATTTGTTGGTATTTTTGACGCAGTTCCATAAATTGTTGAGTTAAATCTTTTCTAAAGTACCTTTCTGTTGCATTCATATGTATAACCAAAGGATTACAACTATGATTAAAAAGAGATGTCAATGGAAAAATGCCGTGAGTATCACGTATATTTCCTTCTCCACTAAATACATTTACTCCAAGAATCGCCATCAAAGTTATGAATACCCAAAAATCATATTGTAGATCATATAAAGAAATTTCCGCAAGTTTTAAGATCTCAAAATAGATTATTTCATATTCACTATCCCAAGGAAGATGTCCTTCGTAATATGAGTTTGCATGTTGACGTGAAAGATGTTTAATTTCCTTAATATCTAATGGGTTTATGTCCCGTTCCTTAGCTAAAGCAAAAAGTTTTAATACTAAAATAAAAATATGGTTCCAACCTGGACGAACTCTCTGTGCTGAACGAATGATAGTATCAATACTCTTTCCACAAAGTCGTTTATGATATAATTTCATTGCTAATTTGTAACATTTCTTGTTACAAAACAACTCTTTACATCGAGAATTATGGCAAGGATACTTGACTGAACATCTTGGATGACCAGGTTTTTCAACAAGCTCAAGCGTACAATATTCACATCTGTTAGAAAAGTGATTATGTCCTGCAATAAATGGATCTTCTTCTAGGATAATTTCATGGGTCGTAAAGTCTTTAATAGACTCAACTCCCAGATGAATCGTCATTTTTGATTCTTTAACTGAATCAGGCGGAAGCTTTCGTAAAACAACCTTTAACTTTTTATTACTGGCATTATCAAGTTGTTTTTGAAGTTCTCTAAGTATAGTAGCTGAAATTCGTTCATTTGGACGTTTATCCCAAGGATATTGACCATTGAATCTAAACCATCCGCAATCAACATATGACAATATAATAGGGCTGGTAAACCCCCATCTTATTGATATTTCCTTGAGCAATAATTCATTCTTTGGTTCTGCAGTCCCATCTGGTGATACTTGAATTCGAATATTACTTAGTTGTCTCAATTTTAATGCCAATATCTGAAATTTTTCCTTTTTTGTCTTATTAAAAGTTTCTGAAAGATCTTTTAATATTTCATATTCTGAGGCAGACATCCCAGGAAGGCCTAAAGCACGCAAAGCTTCGGCATAGTAATATCTTCCCTTGTAACTTATTTTTTGTAATTCGATATTATCTTTAATTTCATCACATAATAATAAAACTCTTTTCGCATCTATAAGCGCAATTTCCGGATAACCTTCTTTTAGGCATACTAAAGCACGTTGACACCACAAATTTGGATCATTTGGCGTTTTGGTCAACTTATCAGTGTATTCATTCCATTCAGAAATATATTTATCATCTCTGAGGGTGGTAATACCTTCAAATTGATGAAAAAACTTGTGTACTCTGGGTATATTTTTTGTAGCACTCATGTTGAAAATAAGGAAAATTATCGTGAAATAAAAATATTAAGCTGTTTGAAATGTTTCAAACTAGTACGTACAAGTCATTGTTCCTTAATTTAGGAACAATCTTGGCTTGGTGAAACACAGCTTTTGCTATTTTTGTTCTTACCGTACGTATATCAGTATATAATTACAATTGTATATAATTACAATTAATGTTAGATATAGTTTATATTGTAAAATATGTTTATTTGCTATTAAACATTTAAGTAGATTTAATATAGTATAATTTTTCTATGACGATTTTTTGATTAATGTTACTGTATTTTAACATAGCCGTAACAAAATAAATTTATTTAAAAAATTTTTTTTATCCCTCTGAACATTGTAATATTGATAAAACGGAAAGTGCTTATTTTACACGTTTTTCATGTTGTTAAACTATGAAAAGATTATTTTATTAAAAATAATAGGGTGATTCAGAATTAACTTATTTCGAAAATAAGTGGGAGTTTAAAAGAAGCTACTTCTATTTTAAAAATCCCGACTAGGGAATTAGATAATAAATATTTACCGGAAACGATTATATAAATTATGAGATTATTTGGCCTGCATTAGAATATCATCTGGTCTGCATTAAATATCATCCGGCCTGCATTAACTTTAATGGACCAATTTCTAAGACTGGGGTAAAATTGCCACCCAAAAAAGTTTCTAACGTCACGTAACAAATATATTGAGCTCTAAAATTCATGTAGCTTAACAAAAAAATACAAACAAAAAAATTTAAGCTATAAGTAATAAAATAATCATTTTATTTATTTCGAATAATTCAATAAACGTATTATTTATTATCGCAAGGTTTAAATCGAGGAAAAATGATTTTTTACATGAATTTTTAGTCTCGATATATTGTCACGTGATGTTCAAAACTTTTTTGGGTGGCTGTTTTACCACAGTCTGCATTTCTACGTAGAAGTTTTATTTTTATGTCATTCTATATATATTGTGATGACGGATTTTAGATAGGATTAGATAGAATTAATAAACGAATAATAAAGTAACCAAAAGCCTTTCTCGCCCAAAAGCCAAATCTAACACCCTCTTTCGAAAAGGTTACTTACCGTACGTTACGCGAGGTTTAGAATTTTGGAGCGACAGAGTCGCAAATCTTCCGAACACAACAATATATATGGGGGGTGCCAGTAGAAACAAAGCAAATTGTTTTTAGTGTGTTTTTTTAAAATTTTAAATTAAAATATCTCAACAACTATTAAACCAAACTAGGTAAACTTTTTTTTATTTTAATTCTATTACTTTATAGAATTAAAATAAAAAAAATTTTGTCAAGTTTGGTTTAATAATTGTTGAGATATTTTACTTAGAAACAATTTGCTTGGTTTCTACTGGCACCCCCCCATATATATGCGTATACTTGATTAAATTTTTTTTTGCCGTTGGTAGTTCTTACTTACTATTCCTTTTACAATAAATATACCATTATTAAGTCATTCTTTAAACAACATTATTATACATGGGTGTTAATAAACCGATTTGGCATCATTTTGAAATGCTAAATGTATTATTTTAACAAGAAATTATATTTCAACTGATTATCTTTATATATTTTTATAATTCATGAAAAATTAAAAAACTTAACTATATTCCGCGAATCCCGTGTGGATTCCGCGCGGGATTTTTAAAAAACTAAGATTTGCCCATCACTATATTTCAAGCTTTAAAATGCCCAAAAATGTCAAATTTGTAAAAGACCTGGGATACTTTGTCGATCGGAATATGGTAATTTAATACATATATGAGATATTGGTCACATACTGAAAAATAACAAGACACTTTTTTCATCGAAGTTAATGTCACTTCCACGTACTACTACGCAGCACCGGTGCCGACAATCATTTCGCCGACAGCTCATTTGACCGACATCACAATTTACTAAAAATATATACTAGCGACCCTATGTCGCTTGGTGTGATGCCGACTAAATGTGAAATGATACGGATGCACGCAGCATATGGATAGTCCATACTTATAATTCCATAAATCATAAAACATAGTCGTTTGATCTATTAACACGATTCGAGGCAAAATGTTGTTTCAATACTTCATGTCGGGCGCTAATTAACGTTAAAGATATACAAATTCAGGTTTTATTAGCAAATTTAAGTGGCGTAAAATTTATAATAAATATTTTTGAGTACATCTAGACTTATTAGAATTTATTAAACGGAATAACTATAGGGCGGTGGTTGTGATGATTGATGATTATCAGTGAAACCACAACATATTTTGACAGCAGAAAATAAAAGTTTAAAAACATTAATTAATGCTATAAAGGTTACTAGACTTGCTGCAATTAGGAAATTTTTCTTAGTATCAGGTTCACTTTTAATTCCAGAATAACCATTGTAGATTGTCCAAGCTAAAATTGCCAAGTAAGCTATTGAAAACATGTCTGAAATAGAACCAATTTTATCAATTGTCTCTTGCTTTATTACTTTATCTCCCCAGAGAAGATAATATTCTTGCTTAACTATTTTATACAAAAATATATATGTATCAATACAACTTGCAAAAATTGAAAAAATTAAAATGCATAACCAACTTACAAAATAATATGCAGAAATGCTCACAACAACTTAATCTAGCTTCAGATCGAATTTGAAATATAAGATACCAACGTAGAATTAGTTCCACTACGATGATGATGATAAATGCTGACATCAGAATTTGTCCTTGCTCACGCTATGCAACAAGTTAGAAGTATATAAGATTCAAATAAAATTTATTCATAAATTTCTTTCAAAATAATTACCGCGCGATAAACTGTAATAATAGTCACTATAAGCAAAATGAAAAAAATAAAGTTTAACATTAGCCAAAATTTCCACAATAACCGTCGTCTTTCTGACGCTGGTGCTCCTACTCCCATTTTCTTTTCTTTTCTTTTTTTTTTTTTTTTAGTAAATTTGATTGCAAATGATAATTATCTTTTGGTCTATTTAAATATCGACAATGTTTTTTTTTTCTAAAATGCAGGCTTAGCCATCGAATTTCTGTTCCTTTTTCCGACTATATAATACGCATACATTGTATACAACATTAAATTAATTCGAAAACGCGATACAGATAATTTTTTTGAAAATGTTTAAAGCCGTTTACAATTTAGTTATACCCATTGCAAATTATCATCACCAATCATATTATTCGATAATGTTCTAGCAGACAGGTAGAAAATTCGTTAGTATCGGCAAAGTTGTTTCAGGAGATTGCACCAGAACTCGATTAAAATCGGATCTGGATTTTATTGGATTTTATGAAACAAACGTTTTACCTGGTTTTAGCAGATCTCTTAATTTGGTTATACCGTGGTATTATGGCTTAGTCCATATCGACTACCATTTATGTAATTGATAGACTACATTCATATACGCACGTAAATATGTGCGCGTGTATGACTGGGTCGTTATTTAAAATATTTTTTTAAATCAAATTAATTTCTTCAAGCATTTCTCAATTGCTAAAGTTTTTTACATAAAATCTACAAACTTACCATATTTTTTTAAAATATTTTATATAATGAATTCAAATGATTTCACCAATAAATTCGGTAACTATAAAAATTAAGCACACCACTAATAAAACTGATTTCAATAAATACATATGTATAGCGACTTAACAGTTGGTATTTTTATTATTTATTTTAATGAAATATATGCCTTTATTTAATGATAAGTGTTCAAGAAAACGTAGGCAATACATGGATGACATGTACGCACGTACATTAGTGACGGAGTGGCCAACAAAAAGGCTCGGGCGTGTGAGTGACTGTGGCTTGTTTAGCTGTGACCCTAAAAAAGTAAAGTATGAGTGTAGGTACGTGCATGAACATGTATACTGTATTTATGACAAATTTTTTGGTTTATATTGATGTTAAACATTGGTCCTGCTAACCTACACATTACTCTTCACTAAAAAAAACCTAGAACACGAAAATAGAATCTCGAATCAATAAATGATCAATATTTCGGGTTACTTGGATTTAATAATTGAGTTCATGTCATGAGTTCCGTGATAACACCATGATAACATATAGGTAAGCGCCTAAATTTATTATATATTGCGGAACTTATTTAATAAATACTTTTTTTTTTAATGGCCAGCTCCGGCTTCATGAGACCAAATAATTATACAAGGTGTGGAACATTACAAAGTGTGTGACTATATGACATTTGAAATGATTTCCGCTCGCAACATCTCATAGCTGATTGGGTATCATATCATCATTTCGATTATTGATAGAATGAAGGTAAAGATTTTTAAAATCTATGCTTTTTATTTTTTATTTTGGTTTCAAAACAAGAAACTATCAAAATAATTTCAGATTTTTCGATTATTTCTAGGCTATTCCTTTCTATAAAAATTAGCTCTTTATTAAAAAATATTATTGTAATTTTATTTATATTAATTGCTTATATTCATTCATTAATTTATTATATTTGTTAATGCACACTTTATAATACATGCTCTATGTAAATTCTTTCTAAATGCTCGGTATAACTTGATCCCATATCATAAGAGTTCAATATATTTAGCTTTACTCTTTATACGTAAATGCATATTACCTGTAAATGTATATTTTAATTCGTTTTTACTATGGTACCAAGGGTGTGTTTATGGAGGTCCGACTGTATTTTGATTAATTATGTGCGTTCATAAATTTAAAATGCTGAAACGGTCAAAAAATCGAGCTCATTATTGATATGAACATCAATTGATTATACGTGTTTGATTTTGAAACATTAGATAATCGGTTGAATTTATAAATAAAAATAGTTTTAAGACAACAAACCTATTCATAGATTATCAAATTGTACGATATCATTAGAATTAATAGATCTAATAGTACATAAATGAATGAATAAAAAACTGGCAATGTATGGACATATTAAAGTAGCAATTGGTGTGAGAATTATGAAATTTGCTCTTTGGCCCTAGATATCAGGTTTATAAAATATTTATCGTATAATAAAGAAGAAAACAAAGAAAGAACATGGTTTTGGTTTTTAGGTATAATTGTTCGATCAGATGACTTTATTAAATGAACACTGAAAAACATATGGGCTATCTTTACAGGCTTTATCTTCATTACTATATCACCTCTTTAAAACAATACTAAGGCAAGGGACTAACTGATCAAACCCCTCTTCAATACAGAGCACAAAATCATAACACAACATCTGATCCTATAATTCCTAAGCATATAGAGAAAACCGTCGAGACAATTGCCATGTAGCGGTTTTGGAAGTTACATAGACGTTGCTTATCTTACGAACAAAGAGTCCTTGAATTGAATTTTTTTGCCGTGAAGATCGCAACTAGGTCTTTGCATTGCCACAGCAGCCGTGGGCCTTAGCCACTAAGGTCCATGTTACGTAGTGTTTCGGTGAAAATCAAAAAGGGAAATTATATATATTAATTACGTAATACGTAATCAAGTGCATTTTTATAATTTCCTTTTAAAGGTTTCGCCGAAACATTTTTCTTGCACTGCCACATCAGCCGAGGAGCCCAATCGTTACAAACAAAACAAGGCACTTGCGCTGTTATTGCAGCTACGGAGTCTACCATTACTTACCAATACGCTCTACGTGTACTTAACAAACTTACTGCCAAGCATTAAGCTTAATGTTAAGTCGCTGCCATATTGGCAGGCGGAAATGACGAAAAAACTAGCCGTATTATAAGGCAAGTGATAGCCGAGAGAAAGGCAACCTCCCTCAATTAAAATCTCACTCTTAAATAAAAACATTAACAAAAACGTCCGCCTCTACTGAATACGTACTTGTATCATATGATAATACCCCTTACTTCTATTGCTAATTAGCTAATAATGATATCAATTCACCATTTAATATAACGAAAAACCTGATAAGGAGATCAATAAACGGATAACCCATAAATTCGCATGTGTTTCCCTAAAGTCATTGAGCTCACCATAATAACATTTTGTCACTTCGTTGACAAGCTCATCGGGACATTTGAAGAACAGGTATCCCAGTTAGGGCGTCCAAGATTATTATGCTACATAATATGCGCATAATTCGCATAATATGATGTGCTAGATATTTTGCTCAATGAAATTGTTCGAATAGGATCAAAAACAAGGGGTTGAAACCGGTTTATTTTTTCATAAGTTAAACCCGTTTATTTCTTTTAGCATATTAGAAATCAAACCGGTTCCAGACTCTGCAAAGAATCAATAATCAATCACACTTTAAATAATTTTCTTTTAAGTAGTCTACGTACATATGAGTGCGTGAGAGTGAAAACCTGGAAACCGATCATAGTAAATCATTAGATCGGTTTCCAGGTTTTCACTCTCATGCACACATATGAGTGACGAAAAGGGAAACCTGTAAATCATCTCACTCAATAAGTGAAATGATTTACAGGTTTTCCCTTTTCGTCACTCATATGTATATTAATATACAAGATAAAAAAAAATCTAAATAAATACATATTTAAAATATTTATACGTAATAAGATATCTGAGTATTTGAGTTTTAAATTACACCTTGCCTTGATAAGTAAGGCATGGCACATCTCTAATTATAATTCTTGACTCACCCCAGTATATCTAGTAAAAAAGCACTGAACATGACTAATCAACAAAATCTGTCCAATAAAATTACAGTACTAATTAAAATAATTACTTATCATTTTATTTTAATTTTGTGTCTATTTGCATATGATAATATAAAGTTTTGTTGTAATTTGAATCTATTTGCATAATTCAATAAATAGAAGTAAATAATAAAATTTTTTTTTTATATTTTATTTTATTTTTAATATTAAAGGTAAGGTTATATCTTAACTTTATTAAAATTCAAGTAAGTTTTTATAAAGAAAAGCTTGCTTTTAAATTACATATTGAGAATAAAGACTCAGACATATAATTAGTGACCTTAACCTACAATAGTAACTAAGGCTTATCTAGGTTTAGAAGTAAGTAATAATATAGAAGAAAGAAATATAATATTTAATTATTGAATAGTTCAAATTTTAATTTTAGTAACAATTTCTAGAATTAAAATAGAAGATAAAGTTGGATTAGAAAAAAAGTTATAAGCTAAGTTAATAAAAAATGTAATTTAAGATTGTGCAAAATATAAGATACAGTAGATAATTCATATTTGTTTATATATTTATTAGTTCAAATAAAGAAAAAGTTTAATAAAAAAAAAGTAGTAGTATAATAAAAAATAAAAATATTATAAATAATAAAAATAAGATCGATAAAAACTAAATCAAATAATATAAAATTAAGAAAAAGTATGTATAAAAAGTTATACAATTTAAATCTGTTACTGCTAAATATAAGAGTTCTTTGTATAAATTAAAAATTAAATAAAAATCAATAATTACTACCAGAAGGTGTAGTGACTTAGTAAAGTGAATAAGTTGTCATACCCCCAAGTGGTAGGTTGTGAGTTCAAAATCCATGATAGTAAAATTTGTATAATCATCTATGTAATATATAAATGGTATTATGACAATGGCATTCTGTCAATCAGTTGAGATAGGATACCTGTAACTATAGTTGCACCAGC